CTCTCAGTGGCTGCTGCGTGCGTCTTCATGGGCTTCCAGCAGGACTCTTCGAGCTCCTCTGAGCGGCTCCTGCACTTCTAAATAACTTTGCGTCCTGGGGGAGCTTTTGGAAGGGGGGGAGGCGGGGGCGCCAGGATGGGAGCTCGGATCAGGGCAGGCCGGCAGAAAGCGATGCTCCTGTGGATCATTGTGGGTAAGTCGACGACACCGCAGCAATGTCTCTTTCCGCCTGTGTGTCGTGACCACACAGAATAAGGGGGTTGTTACAAGCGAAGCAACTTGAAAAGAAGCGCACAACTTCCACTGCCACTCGCTCAAATGTCACGTTATGTGTTGACATCATTTGTGGTATCATTTCGCTCCTGTGGATCATTGTGGGTAAGTCGACGACATCGCAGCAATGTCTCTTTCCGCCTGTGTGTCGTGACAACACAGAATAAGGGGGTTGTTACAAGCGAAGCAACTTGAAAAGAAGCGCACAACTTCCACTGCCACTCGCTCAAATGTCACGTTATGTGTTGACATCATTTGTGGTATCATTTCTTCGAAATGCAGGGCCGGGGTATCGGATCAGACTCGCTATCGGCATTTACTCCAAATCAAGTGACTTGAATCAATTGCAGAAAAGTGTGATTGGGACATCCCTCCAAAATATTTGTTGACCGGGCTTTTTATCGACTGGCGAGAGACTGGTGACACGTTCTGAGGAAGGGAGCTCTGCCATGAACAGAGGAGCTGTGTTTGGGTTGACATTTGGTGACCAGTAATGTGTCTCCACTGGTCACAGTAAATAGACTTTGGTGAGCAGAGCTCATTATCTCGAGCGGCACACACGCAACAGCAGCCCACATACATCGGCTGTTCTGGAGCAAGAATGCCAATTACACAAGGTGGTGCGACTCGGGGCCGGTCTGCCCTTTGTCGCAAAGGCTCCGCTGGTCTTCGATGTCCCCCAAAGAGATTGCAATTTTGCATTTTATTCCACAAAATGCCTGAAATCTTTTTTTTTCCCTGTTCCATTTCATCCTTCATCTTTTGAGATGAATCATATGGAAATGAGTTGAATAACAAAGGCAAACTAACACTCTTTTTTTTCCATTCGTTTGAGGTCAAACATTTAAAGAAAAGACGCTGATGTGTCTACCGAGAGAATACTTTGAGAGTCATTTGAAGGGGAATAATCTCAGTTGGATAGATAGCGTCACTATGACAACTGAAACACGCTTAGAGTGGGTCAGGAGACATGATTTGGTGGGGCCGTGCATCGCAGAGGTGGTGACTTTCTTTCATCTTGGCTGGGGCAAAGTTGAACGGAAAGTCCTGAAGTAATTTCAGTGGCTTGGTCACAGAAATCCAACCAAGCGTACAGTTAATTATTCATTTTTGATTTGCATATGTCCTTCTGTGCTTGCCTCTGTTTTCAGCCTTGAAGCATTAGTCTGAGCACAAAAAGTGCTACAACTTTTTTACAAAGACAACATAATGGTGCTATGTTCTCGATCCTCTGTGAAGAATCACAAATAATAGTGCTGTACTGATGAGCCGATGAGGAGTCTGGACATCTCAATGAACCGTTTGCCTTATGTCTGCCTCATACTGCCCCCGGGCGGCCAAGGCTTGTTTACACGTAATTGTCTGGAAGTCGAAACCTCACCTCATGGTTGAGAGACTGTTTTTGTCGGCGTGGAATCTTTGAGACAGAAGCTAGATATATATCGTGCATCATTGTAGTATCTTTTTAGATTTTATCTCTTCTGCCCCAAAAATCGACTGTAGTCATGGGAATGACAAACCGGCAGGTGGGGATCCCTGCTCTAAATTGTCTATAGCAGGAAATTTGAGTGAAGTTGTTTCTCTTGATATGCCCTGTAATTGCAATTGACTGGCGACAGATCCAGGTGGCACCCCGCCACTCACCTAAAGTCAGCTTGGAGAGGCTTATTGTTTAACGCGACCGGTGCATGCCCCGGTGACCTCGCCATTAATGCGAGGGTGGCTTATTTGTTAAATGAAAAAATGGATGGATAGAAAACAAAACAAACAAACAATAAAACTATTCAAAATGTTTACTAAAAAAAATATATGTCACCTAAATATGTTGATTGAAATCAAGTGTTTCTGAGTATCTTTGTCTTTCAACACGACAGGAGGACAAATAATCCATTTCACAAAAATCGAGAGAAGTCTTCCCCAGGTTTGTCCGCGTGCGATCAATGTCATTTCTACCACCGCCAACAAATCTGAACGCTCTACTGCTCATATGAACGATCAGCTGCAGTCCTAAACCATACCTCACTTTCTCCTCCAGTAATCGCGGAGCTGCTCACCCTGGCCAGCCTTTCACTCCTCATACTGCAAACACGTCCAATTTTAACCCCCTCTCACAATGTAGCGCTTATTAATGCTTCGCACCATCGCCTTACACAGCCCCCGATCGCTTAGAAAACATGAGCCGTTAATAAATTCTCACTCGGAGTCACCTGTGGGGCAGAAAAAAAATATTTGGTCACCCATGAAAATACCCTTCATGATGCCCCATCATCAACACGGAGGAGAATCGCCTCTGAGCAGTTTTGACGTTCACCCCCTGCCTCCTGTTCTCATGCCGTTAATCTGTTTTATGGTTGCTTGTGTGTGAATGGCACAATTTGTGGATAGGAGAGTTTGTGTGTGTGTGTGTGTGTGTGTGTGTGTGCGCGCGTGTGTGCATATGATGAGCGCTGCTGCATTTCATGGTCAAGTCTGAGCGGCTAATGAGCGGGCGTGTTGATGCGCTGCCGTTTAGCGTGGCGTGGGAGCGTGCATGTGTGGGTCTCCCTTTGTGTGGAGATCGCAGCCGGCGGCCGTCGTGGAATCGTCGCACATTACAAATGAGCGCATGCGACAAAATATGTTTTCACGCGTGCTGCTCATACAAGCATCTGTCAGCGCATTCAGACAAAAGAGACAATTTAGCCTTCGGCACCTCTTCATAACACAGATTGCATCCAGTATGTAAGTACAGGTAGTATACAAAAAGAAAAAGTCTACACACCCCTGTTCAAATGCTAAGATTTTTGTGAGGTTCCATTTCACAAACACTTTTTTTTTTCACCATGACGTATAACCTCTAGTGCAAAATTGCATGGGGGGGGGGGGGAAAACAACGGAACTAATGTGGTTACACAAGTTGACAACTTTGCAGACTTGAGACTTAATTACGACTTGTACATTTGCGACTCCAAACACTATTGTGGGGACATTAAATACTTCAATCTTAACTACAAATCGCATGCATTTTTTTTTCTACACACACATTGACGCTCCTTTTGCATGAGAAAACCTCTCTCTGTTAGTTGGCAGATGGTGTCAAAATTGCTCATTGATATTTTTGCCTTGGTGGGAACTAAGCCTTGCCAGTCAGCTGCGGCGGGCGTCATCAACAATGGCCAAAGCACGTGATGGGAACTGCCGTGTCGACGGATTAGGATTGTAATCTGAACACGGGAAGGAAATTTGACACTCCATTGCTGCAGGTGTGCATGGGAGCAGCGGTGTGAGGGGGGCAAGAACACAACTCAGAAGAAAAAAATATATATATAACTGGACAAGTGACGTGAGGACAGGAAGCATGCTCGAGTTGACGCTTGCGTCTTTGGGACGGAGGCGTCCTTTCGCCGCGCGTCACGTTTCACAGCGCCGCCTTGGATTCAGCAGCCGTAGCGTCACGCTCATTTCGAATTCTGAAGAGAGAGGCTGGATTAATTTGGCTCTCAACATGTTCCCTTCCTCTGCTGTTTCCTTAGCGGGATTTTCAATTCAATTCCACTTCCCAGCATTGAAAGAATGCCAATGTTATTACTCGGCCTAATCACAAAAATCATCATGCCATATTGAAACAACAACGCTGGCTGTCTCGCTCTCCATTTGTGGGTGGGTGTGCACTGGCAAACGTGTTGTCGCCATCGAGAAGCTCACGGTTCAAATCTGCTTGTGAGGCATTTGCACGTTCTCTGCAATCTGAATCTAAGAACATCAACGCTTGATTGTCAATCGCTCTCAATGTGAGTGTGTCAAAATGGCGATACGATGAACCAATGTTGACCTTGCCTCACTTTACTTACAAATTGACACAGTTTAGTCTATTTGTGACCCGCCATTGACAGGCGAACCGTCGAGGTCAGTTTGTCATTCACAGACAAATTGTCCCACAAACGAGGGACCAAAATGATTTTTTCCCCTCCTTTTCTTTTTTTAATAAACAAAATGCTGTAAGCATCCCTGAAGCCTACGTCGTGTCCAAGCCCAGATCTGGCAGCAGGCTACTTCCCATCGGTTGCTTAGCAACTAGCACTAATTACGGGAAAGCTTGAAAATGCCACTCGCAAAAAAGATTTACTTGGGCAAGCACTCTTGAAAGCAACCAACAGTGTAGATCCAAGCAATTAAAAAGTCGACTCTTCATAATACGCGCCCTTTCAAAGTGTGAAACTAATCATGCGAAAATACGGTTCGTAGCGTTGCTGGGAACAAAAACAAGCACAGCGGGGACATGAGCTCTTTAACGCACATGATTGGCCACTTAGTAAATCCTCCACCACGGGGGCTGAGATAACGAGCGATACGGTTTGGAGGGCGGTGAGGCGGTGCGGCGGCAGCTAACTAACTCACTTGCATCCCCAAACTGGAATCTCTCTTATCCCGGCACTTGACTTGACTTCTTCATGCGGCGGCCAAAACAACCTCAAAGGTTGTGAATGGTTTAATGTCAAGTTGCAGAGTCCACAACGAAATGCGCCTTTATCTTGCACAGCCGCGACCTGAACTTGCAGTAAAAGTGAAAATGAGACAAATGAGTCTCTGTATTTCCCGGCAGTCTGGATGCACTGTGGCACCACGCTGCCTCTCACAGGTCAGTCTGAATACTGCGACAGTCGTCTGGTTGGTATGGGAAGCTCGCTCGATTGTTTATAGAGGTGTTTTTGTGCATCGTGTCTTGTATTGGTCATCTCAAGTATGCGACAAACATTAGTAACAACGTAAAATCATTAAAAAAAAAAAAGAAAAAAAAATATGCCCTTGAGCATTTTTGGATGTCTTTGCACAGGGACATCGCCCGCTTCCGGTCCTATTGTCATCCCCACAAATTGCTTGCCATTACCTTGGAGTGCCGATAGCGCCGCTCACTTTAATGACCACTCGGTGATGGATGGG